AAAGCTGGTGTATACATCTCAAACAAATTCTATTGAATTGAAAATTCTGCATCAAAGGCAGCAAGCACAAAATACATCCGATAATACTACTTTACGGTGCATTCTAAGAATTGAGCATAAAATCTTATATGACTTTGATTTTCTACAGGCATTGCGTATATCAATGGAGGAACAAAGACAAAGACAAGATGAAGATACTCGTAAAGTTCCTGAGTCTGCTGAGCCCTCTACTGAAGAACAGAAACCAGTTAAGGCACCAGGTATGTATTTATAGTATTGTATTCCTTTATGCCTTCCCTCTCACATTAAGAATATGAACATCCATGGTATTTTGCTGTACAGTGAAACATATATTGACTGTTGAAAATTGTATGGGCCATAGAGAACACTTGTTTATGATTGTGGTGATTGAAAAACTTCATCTAGATTTGGTAAATGATGATTTTTGTGACCGTTTTGGAGAGTAAATCTTCTGAGACTATTTGCCCTCCTAATGTTGGTCAAATGATCACTTGGACTCGCAAACACCTATATTCCACAGTGAGTAATAAATATCACCATGGCAGCACAGTCAATACAAGAGGCCACAGTTAGGTTATTCTATATTTGAACAGTTTTACAGGATGTTATGCAAATTTAAAAATGTAACAAAACTATATACAAGACACAACATCAGTGTTGTGGTCAAAGGTCATCATTTATTGTTGACACATCACTAAAAAAAATGTACCGAACTAGAAAAAGTACAGATAGTAGGGTGGGTATATACCAAAAGTTGACAACAGTAGTAAGCCTTGTTCCATACAACCAACCATCCTTGATTTAGGCAGATTTAAATTATAATGATTAAATGCATTATTGCATGCTTTATATCAAAAATAAATATATCCAACTATATAGAACAGAACATGGCTACAATGCCAACATAAACTCAACACTGGTAAATGGATACTTACTATAACTCTGTTAGAAAAGTATGAATATGAAATTGTCTTACCAAGTTGTCTAATAATACTAGCATATCTGTAATTTCAATTCTACCATTAATGCATGACATGGAGGAAGAGAAATGTATCTAAACTTTCTTGTGCCATTGGTAATATGTGATTGTCTCTCTTATCTTATTGTAGGTGATAGTGAGGAAGCATTATTAGAACAAGCTATTGCCATGTCGATGCAGCAACCACCATCAGAGGTTGCAGAAAGTGTTCCAGAAACCCCAGCACCAGACTTTTCATCGATGTCAGAGGAAGAACAAATTGCATATGCCATGCAGATGTCTTTACAACACCAAATGAGTGGTAAGAATTACCTAGTTGTAGCATTAAATCCAAAATTATTGACTTATTTGGACTACACATTTACAATTATCTTCATGTCAAGTACGCCTTGCTAGGTTCATATTCTCAGGACGGACATCCAGGCATTTTCACTGTCTGGCAACCATCATGGTGAAAACAAAGGCTGAAAACTGTACTTTGTGAAAGTTGTTGAGACTCCCCTGAACAGGGTAACAAGATAACCCCTACATATGCAATATGTATATATATTTGGTAGCTCAGGATTATTGCAAAGTTGAGTTTGTGATGTTTCCTTGACTTTAGCTGTTTTCATCGGCTCATTGACCAGCGTTAGCCCAGCCTCCTAGAATAATTACTAACCTCTTATTTTATTATTTATACCGTAGATATGTCTGATTTAGCCAATCCATTGAGTGCTGATTCACCTATGGATACATCAGAAGCAACTGAGGTAAATAAATTACTTTTATTCCCATGTTAAACAAGATCTCCTTATGTTAGCATACATAAACAGACATAGTGCTAATAACTACCAATTGGACATTTCATTAGTTCAAATATAGTTGTGAAAATTGTTCTACTGATTATCTCCGAACCTCGCATCAGATTTCAATGTAACTTGCTACATTGGTAAACCAAGAGCATTCAAAAGAATCTATCTATCTATAGTACTGTTGGATAATAGTGTAAACTTAATACTTGTATTATATAGTGAGTTATATTTGTTCACATACAAGTACTCAATAAAATATACAGTATTATACTGTTAGATAATGCTAATATTGTAAACTCGATACTCATCAAATATGATACAGTGAGTCGTATTGAATCACACGAAAGTACTGAGTAAAATTTCGATTCTCATCAAATATGATACAGTGAGTCATATTGAGTACCACAGGAGCACTGAGTAGAATCTTGATTCTCATCAAATGTGATACCGGTAATTTACTTATAGGCAAAAATGTACTTTTATTTATAAACTAGTTGACCACAACTCTGCACATTCTAGTTCTAGTGTTTTGCATTACAACAAATGCAGATTCTGTGTGTCCTGGACTGGATTAGACTAGCTCAAAGCTATTTTCTTGTTCAGATTACAATCTATTGTATAGTCACCAATGTAGGCAACATTTTTCGAACATTTCAATCTTTCCTGACGCCTAAATTAAAGTCTAATTTTAAGTTTTCCCGTAGTCATTGACGTCTATTCAAGAGTATGATGTGGCATTCTTCTGTTTTGTGTTTAAGTGTTTGTCGTTGATATCTCAAGAACCACATAATGTAGTTGCTCTGAAAAATCCACAGACCTGCTTTGTTTGGATTGAAATCCAAGCATTTACAAAATTGTATAATAATTGTTGTTAATATTGCACTGTTTCACAAACTGAATATACAGTAGCATAGAATTGTGTAGCCTTATGAGACAGCAGCTTGATCGGTCACCAAAACAATGCTGGGATAAGATTCCATGTAGTCCACAACAACATAAGAAATTCTTGATACTTTACTAAACGTAACTGAAGTATCCAGTTTTCTTAAAAAAACACCACCATGCCAATATAAATAGCTTGATATTTGTTTTCAGTGTACAGTAATTTATGCTGGCGTGTGTAATGTAAATTACATAGAAACTATACTGGATATTATCGTACTCGACCGCGTTAGTGCCCAGGAGCCTCAACTCCGAAAATCATGATTTTTTAGGGGTGGGCGCTTACCCGAGCACCTCCTCAAAAAGAGTGCAAATGAAAATTTTGATTCATCATGTGACAGATTATGTCAATGAGGGAAAATCAAATTACGAAATTAGTTGCGTCGTCATTGATTTTTACAATGATGAAACAGAAATGATCACAACAAATATGCACATTTTATCACAATATTAATTACGTACCACCAGAATTTACGATATTAAAAACATTAGAGTCTGTTGGAAAACAGTCTTAGTCATTATCTCCACTGACGAAGGTGTTGGATCGTATGCAAACTCTCAATGAAAATCACTTTCCACCATGATTCCTTTGATCTAATGGGTCAAGTTGGTTATTAACCAATCAGAATGCTGTATTGTACCAACGCAATACTTCGGAAATTCCCGAAGACTTTCCAGTAACGCAATGCGGAATTGAATTATCGATGTCGAAGTACGATCTGTTGGAATTGATTTCAGCGAATAAAGACATGGTTTTTCCAAAAAACTAATAACTAGCCATTTTTGAGAGGTAAACTGAATATGGCATGAAATATTTACTGCATTTTACTTGTATTAACAGGTCATTGTCGAAGCGTAGTTTACGCACGGTTACCGTGTTCTACGCATTCACAACATATTCACAGTGGTTGATATCCACGCTGTATCATATAAAAACGATTTGTAACGCAAGACCAAGTTTTTAATTAGTTGCATTTTGAAGGGCTGGGGGCTTTGCCGAATGTGACCCCAAATATAAAAATTGTCCAAAAGTGGGGGGTTGGAC